GGCTTGTCACACAGGTGGTCCCTTCTCATCATTAGAGGTCCCCTCCTCAGACTGCTCCCTGCTGCATGGCCCCCAGTGGCGCTTGGGTCTCGGGGTGGTTTTCTCTGAAGCTGTGCAGTTCTTTCCTGTTTCCTGGGTTTGCTCCCCGAGGGCGGGCTCCCAGCTCCTCCCTCACCCCGGGGCTCTCAGCACGAGAGCGTCACAGCGAACAACCTCTGAACAGATGAACTCTCCTCTCGAGCCCCCCTCCCCTCCAAGGGAGGCCCCCCAGTCCATCCAGAAACTTCTGGCAAGGAGCGCTGGGGCCTGAGTTCTCCAGGACAACAGACAATTGTCTGTGCAGGAGGTGGATGAGCAGGAAGGGGTACCCTGGGCCCCGCGGCCCCCAGGCTTGGGGCTGCTTCTCTGGGAAGGAGAGGAGCCTGGAGAGGGGCTGGAAGGAAGGGCCGGGGAGGGCAGGCAGCTGACTCCAATCTCAGAGGCCGCTGAGCTGAGGAGCAGGAAGGGGAGGTGCAGGGCTGCCCCAGGAGGTGGAGCCTGACGTGGGGTTGCAGGGAGGGGCCGGCCCCAGCCACCTAGGTCTCAGCAGCAGCTGTGGGGCGCTGGCTGCCAGGCTGTGATTTGGTCACAGGGCCTCACCGGGACTCCCTGCACCTGGGAGCCATCGACGCGGGGTGGTCGGCACCCTGGGCTTCCGGGGACCCCTGTGGGGTTCTGCTTGTTTCTGGGCGCGGGTGAGGCAGACACACCCGCCCGAAACTGCCTTTGGGGAAGTGGGCAGCTTCCCCTCCTGGAGCTCAGCCCACTGAGGGGCTCCGTTCCGCCCGCTGCTCAGCCCCCGCTCAGCCGGGGCCAGGACCTCAGGACACGCTGGGCCTGCTCTGTGGCCTGGGGTCTCCCCAAGGCTGTCCTGGCTGCCCCATGAGTGGCAGCGGCCACCTCCCTCCCAGCTGAAGTGCCGCCAGTTCCGCTCGATGCCTTTTTATTGTCTTTTATGTCCTAGTCAGTGGTGCTGGGCTGCGTGCCCAGGGTCAGGTCATACCTCTGTCTAGGAAGCCACCCCCGGCCCCCCAAACAACGTCTCTCTAAAGGATCCTGGGTCCCCAAGTGAAGGCAGCCGGTGCTGGTGACACCCCTCACTAGATGGCATGGGTGGGTCCTGGCCCCTTCTGGCCTCAGTTGTCTCAGCTGCAAAGCAAGGGGTTCCTCCAGCGGTGGCTCTGGATTTTCTCCTCGGCCTCCCCAAAGCCACCCTCCCACTCCCACCTCCCTGTCCCCGCTTCCTGGATTGCTCTTCCCATCGCTCTTCTCCCTGTAGCTCTCCCACGGCACCTCCACCAGGAAGGCTCCCTGGCCCTGGTTCCTCCCTCCTTTGCACACGCAACTATGGCAAATAGTTTCGGTGTCCACAGGTTTAGTCGTTACACCTCTTCCAGCTCCAGAGTGGAAGGGTGGGATTCATTCATTCGATTTGACAAGTGTTGAGCCACCTCAGAGATGGTGCTGCCAGGCGTCTGGAATCAGAGGCCTGGGGGAGAGGGCCCACCGGGACGCTGAGGTCTGTGGGGGAGGAGGAGGCCCAGGACACAACAGGGAAGGACAGAGGAGGAGGGATGAGTGGGGAAGGGGCGAGGGAGCAGGCGAGGCAGAGTGCTGGCGTGCTGGCCTAGCGCCAGCGGAGGGATGGGGACACCTCAGCAGGGACACCTGCGGGCCTTTTGGGAATTACTACTGTGACAGCTCACCCCTATCCAGGGCTTTCCATGTGCCTCGCACATTCTGAATATTTAAAAAAATATTCTGGTCAAGCCCTGACCGGTTTGGCTCAGTGGATAGAGTGTCGGCCTGCGGACTGAAGAGTCCCAGGTTTGATACCCATCAAGGGCATGTACCTGGGTTGCGGGCACACCCCCAGTGGGGAGTGTGCAGGAGGCAGCTGATCGATGTTTCTCTCTCATCGATGTTTCTAACTCTCTATTCCTCTCTTTCTCCCTTCCTCTCTGTAAAAAATCAATAAAATATATTTTAAAAAAATATTCTGGTCAAGAGCACATACCTGGGTTGCAGGCTCGATCCCCAGTTGGGTGTGCAGGAGGCAGCTGATCCATGATTCTCTCTTACCATTGATGTTTCTATCTCTCCTCCATTCCTCTTTGAAATAAATAAAAATATATTTTAAAATATATATATATAACCTCCTCACCCTGAGGTCATGTTTTACTGATTTTTTTAGAGAAAGGGAGAGGGAGAGAGAACCATTGATATGAGAGAAACATCGATCAGTTGCCTCTCCTATACACACAACCAGGGACCAAACCTGAAACCCAGGTATGTGCCCTGACCAAGAGCTGAACCCTCAGTCCTTGGTGTATGGGACAATGCTCCGACCAAGGGAGCCAGCCAACCAGGGCATGCGCATCTCACCCACTCTTCCTCCCTTGCCCTGACCTCAGCCAGTGCCGTGGGTAGATAGTAATATTAGGCCCATTTTGCTGACAAGAAAAGTGAGGCACAGGGAGTTTCTTGTCCTTGTTCAGTCATATGCAGCCAGCAAGTCTGCAGGCTGTTCTCCAGAGTCCTTGTGGTCACCCTCCACTCTGCCACCTCTGCCTCCTGCCCAGTCCAAAGCAGTGTGTGTGGGCTTCATCTCAGGGCACTGGGGAGCCACAGAAGGTTTGTAAGCCGGCTGGTGTGGCTCAATGTTGAGCGCTGGTCTATGAACCAGGAGGTCACAGCCCATGCCGGGGTTGCAGGCTTGATCCCCAGTAGGGGGCGTGCAGGAGGCAGCCGATCAGTGGTTCTTTCTCATCACTGATGTTTCTCTCTCCCTCTCCCTTCCTCTCTGAAATCTACACATAAGGAAGGTTTGTGGGCAGGAGAGTGATGTGATGTCTTTCATCAGGGTCCCCTTTGCCGAGTGTAGAGGATGAACTGTAGGGGAGACAGGAGAGCCATGGAGAGGCTGGAGGCCTGGAGTAAGAGACTCTAGGGACAGAGAACAGGGACACATTTGACCAGGAGCTGAGGAGGGGAAGAAATTGACAGGATGCGGGGATGGGGCGGTGCTCATGGCTCTGGATGGTGAGAGTTCATAAAGTCGGGGTCCCCAGAACAGGGCCAGTTGTGGGGGTGGGTGGGGAGTGGTGAAGTGTCTTGGGGAAGCTTCAGAGCAGCCTGAGAAATGGGCTGGTGGTCAGGGGAGAACCTGGGCTGGAGATGGGGGGAGGGGGGCGGTTCTGAGCCCCTGAGTGGGAGGTATGTGACCGGAGTAGCAAACATGCCTAGCCATAGCCCTGGGGAGCCCCCTGCAGACAGAGAGGGGGCAGCCTGGAGGGTGGAGGCAGGGGTCGCTGGACTCTCTAGGAAAACACTTACCTGGAAAGAAGCCGCTAACTGGTAGGACGGGTGCAAGGACCACATAACCTGACCTGGGGCTGGAGCAGGCCATGCCTCCCTGGGCCCCATCCTGCCCCGCTTCTGTCCATGGGGGTCTGTGTGGGCCCACCTCTGGTGAGCCTGGCCTCCAAGGAGCTGACAGGTTCTCCCTGTTGCCCGGCAACGGCAAGAGCTGTTGGCTGTTGCTAGGAGCAGACTGGGGAGGCTCGAGGAGGGAGGATCAGCTCTCCAGCTTGGGGCGGAGCTGGTGGGGGGAGAGGCGAGCCTCCAACAGGCTGTGTTCCGGGCTCTGTGCGCCGTTTTTACAGGGTTCCGTGGATCAGAGGCACCTACGGAGTGTATCTCTGGGTGTCTGTGTCCCAAGTGGGCATCCTGTGTCTTCATCTTTGCTGCATGCTTGCGGCAGTGCCTGTCTGAGCTTTGGCTCCAGGAAGGAGGGGGGCCCAAGGGGAGCCATTGGAGGACTTACAGGCCAGTGGCTCCTCAGCAAGGGAGCTGCTCAGATAGGGACACACAAGCCCTCCAAGGGGGCGGACAGCCCGAGACCTGTGAGCTGCAGCAAGATGTGTGCCAGGGTGGAAGGGGGAGCTGGTGATGCGGGGGTGGGGGTGGGGGGCTGTGGGGGGCCCAGCATCGGTGGCCAGCCCTCCTCCTGGCTTTGTGGATCTTCCTTGTCCTTGTCCGTGGGTTGAGGCCTCCCCAGCTGTCCCACTAGCAATGCATAGGGTTGCAGCCTGTCTAGTGGAAAGGCCATAAGATCATGGCCACCATGGTTCCGGAGGTCAGTTGGCATCTCTCTCCCGCCTTTGGGTCCCAGTTTGGGGTCCCAGGCTGAAGCCCAGGATGGCTACCTGTAGGAGGATGCCTCCTAGGCGACCAGAGAAGGATGGAGAGGTAAATGCTGGCTCCAGGGGAGGTGTAGAGGTGGCAATAGACTTTTAAAAAAATTAATTTGTGAGAAAGAGGAAGGGGGAGAGAGCTACCATGTGTCCCACGTGTTCAGGCATTGCTTGTGGCGGCGAGGGTGTCCGGAGACCATGCTGAGCGCCCGTCGGGGAGACGTGTTTTGTTTTGCTTTTTAAACGGGCCAAGCCCTCCTCAGGAGGCGGCAGCCTCAGTCCCGAGGCCCGGCTCTGCGGTCCCGGAACAAGGTGACGGGGTTCATGGACTCGAACGGGCGACGAGGACACGCCTTCCCCGCCCAGAGCACGCAGCTCGCAGCGGCTCCGAGGGCTGGTTCCTGCTCGGCGCGCGCGGCACCGATCCCCACCCTCGGGCTCCGAGGCCCTCCCGCCCTCGCCGTCCGGCAGCCTGGCCGGGCGTTCCGACCCAATCGGAGCCCGGCCTCGCCGGCTGTCGGCCCGGGCCCAAGCCCCCCGGCTCGGCTGCGCCGCTGCGACTCTCCCGCGGCGAGGCCCCGCCTCCAGCCTGGCCCGAGCCTGGGCGGCGCCTCACGTCTTCCCCCTCCGCCCGCGAGCCAATCAGCGGCCCAGGATCCCCCACGGCCCCGCCCCCGGTCCCGCCCCGGCCCAGTCCCAGGCCGGGCTCGCCCGGGCCCCGCCCCCGGCCCGCCCCGCCGTCGGTGCGCCGAGCCCTGGAAGGCGCCGCCCGCAGACGCTCGGAACTACGGACCCGAGAGCTGCCCCGAGAGCGCCGGCGGCGGGAGCGAGTGGGTCGCGCGGGCCGAGCCGGGCCGGGGGCCGTGTGGGGGCCGGGCGGCGGCCGGGCCGGCGGGCGGCGGGATGGGCTGCACGGTGAGCGCCGAGGACAAGGCGGCGGCCGAGCGCTCCAAGATGATCGACAAGAACCTGCGGGAGGACGGCGAGAAGGCGGCGCGGGAGGTGAAGTTGCTGCTGTTGGGTGAGGCCGCGTCCTGCGCTGGGACCGCTGTTCCCGCTTCACCCCCCCGCCCAGGACTTTGGCATCCAGGCTAGGGCTTTGAACCCCCAGACTGAGCCTGGGCCCCGACCCGGCCTGGCCAGGACCCCCAAATAATGATTCAAAACTCTGGCTTGGCCTAGACCTCTGGCCCATAGTCCAGACTCTAGGTCAGACCCTCAACTCATCCCAAACCCCCAAACCCACCCATTTCTGCCCCAACGGAAGCTGCCCTGAACTCTGCGTGACCATCCGCCCTTGGCCGACCAAACTCAGACCCTCAAACCCCAATCAGCGCCCTCCTCCCAGGTACCACCTCTCCCCCTACTTGCTCCCCTGTTCCCACTGGGCATGAGCATCCCTGAGGCCCCTGCCAGGTCCCCCCCACTCCCTCCTTCCCCCTCTGTGCCCATCTCTACTCTGGACCCCATAACCACCTGTGCATCCTGACCCCAGGGGGCCTTTTGATTGGGAAACCCTGACTGCTCATGAGCCCTCCAGCAGGAACCCCCAAACCTTTAGAGACCCCTGCTCCATGCATATGGCCCACCAAGTTCCTCGCTGCACAATCCCTTCTCACACCCACTGCTCCCCCTCCCGCACGTCCTCTCCCCCACTCTGGCCTTCCCCAGAGGCCCCCATCCATCCTGTGCCCATGGGCCGGGCGGGAGGAGAGGGCCCGGCCCAACGGAGGCGCCGCTGGTCCCGCTGGGGAAGGGCGCCAGGCCTGGGCTTCCCCGGGGAGCCGCTGGCTGTCCGCCCCCCAGTGCCTAAGCCCCGTGGGGGCTGCGAGGGAGGTGGGGGCACGGGGGGGGGGGAGTGCTGAGGAGTGCAGGTCGTGGTGCCTTCAATCCCAGGGAAGATGGTGGCTGCTTGAGGGGTGGGGGGAAGTGGAAGTGGTGAGACAGCCGACATGTTGCTGCCCCAGTGGGCGGGCGAGAGCTGCGGGCCTGCCGGGCTTCCCGCACCCCTTCTGGGCCACAAGGCCGGGAGGGGGATGCTGAGCCCTGCGAGGGGGCCAGCGGGCCAGCCGGTGAGTGTGGCGGGGGTGGGGGTGGGGGGGGCACTGAGCTGGACTTTTGCGGAGACTGTGGGCCTGTGCTTGCCCCAGGCCAGCCTCCCGCCGGAGCAGGTGTGCCCTGGCAGCCTGGTCTGGGGGGTTTCAGGAGGCGGGAGGCCCCCGCAGCAGCGTGGAGGCTGGACGGTGTGGGGGGGTGTGGCCCCTCACCCCGAGTCGCTGTGGGTCCCTGGCTGAGAGACGGGGCCTTCCGTGCGGGCGTAGGGCCCGGGACGGCGTGTCTCCGTCGGCCGCCCATCTGTTGACTGTCCCTGGGGGCCTGGCCTCTGGGGCACAGCCCGGAGGTTTCAAAATGGCATCCGCTCTCTGCGGGAGGAAGCGAAGGGGCGGGAGGGGCGGCGGCCCGGCCTCCTGGGCTGTTTTGCGTCGGGCGCTCGCCTCTTCCTGTCTCCGCTGCGGGAACGGCGAGTGGGTGTCTCGCGGGGGAACGCCCGCTGGGCTGGGAGGGGACCCCATCCTGCTGCTCCCAGCTCTGCCGGCCTCTGGGCAGCCTCTTCCCGGGCCTCCGGCAGCCTCTTCCCGGGCCGGTCTGTGTGGCAGCTGAGATGCGGGCCGGGAGCCGGGCTGGCAGAGCCGGGTGCAGGGTCCGGCTCCACGTCTTCTGGGCCGCGGGCCCCCCTCAGCTTCCCGCCCCCCTTTGCTCTCTCTGTGGGATGGGCTCCCCGGGCCCAGGTGGGAAGTGCCCTGGCGGCGGCCCTTTCCCGCCCAGGTGCAGGGAGGTGATGGAGCCCGTGGAGCAGCCCGAGTGCCGGCCCACATAGCGGGAAGGACTCCGTCCAGGCAACGGGACTCGCTGGGTAACTGCCAGCCTCCCTTCCCAGCCAGAACCACGCCCGCTGCCCCACCCGCACCCTGGCTCCTTCCCGGCCTGGGTAGAGCGCCAGCCCAGCGCCGGCCCAGGCTGTCACTGGCAGAGGCAGATGTGCGCACGGGGGAGAGGTGTTCCTGGCAGCTTGGTGGGGGACAGAGGTGCTGATACCAGCCCCGCTCCAGGGACACCGCCACCTGTTGTCCCCGGCGGAATCTGGGCGTCTGGGCGTCAGGGGAAAGGAAGCCAGAGTCCGGGTTTGGGGGTTTCTCTGATTTCAGATGGGCGTGTGGGCAAAGGAGACAGTGTCGGTCACCGGCGGGAAAGCCTCGCGTGTCAGCACAGCGGCGCCTCCAGCCCTGGCACTTCGTGGCCCCTCACTTGGGGTGTTGTCCCGGTTCCACCTAACTCACGCCTCCTCTTCAAGACTGCCCAGGCACCACCGCCCGGCACCTTCCTGGCAGCCCCTTCGCCAAGGCTGGGTGCACCCCTGGCTCTGGTGCTGCGGCTCCCCCCTCAGAGCCCGTGTCTGGGCAGAGCTGCCCGCCCACCCTGAGATGGCAGGGCAGGGCTCCTCCTGAGCTAGGCATGGAGCCTGGCACCCACTGGGTGCACCTTGTCTGTTTGTTGAGTGAAGGAAGTGCTACTGAACTTGGTCTTGGGGATGGTGGATGGAGTGAGATGAGCCACAGCCTGGCATATCGTGGGCAGGTGGGTGGCAAGGGCTTGGTGTCGGGCCGATGACCAGGATTGGGGGATCCTGAGACGGAAGCTTCTGAGGCTTTTCCCTGCTGGTCTCATCACAGGCTGTGCCAGCATCTCACACAGCCCTCCTCCCAGTCCAGTCTGCAGCCAGTCTCGGGGCTTGGCACACAGTAGGGACTCCAACTCTTCCCACAGGAGAATGGCTTTGTGGTCTGCTCCTTCCTCCCAGTGTGACCTCAGAGGGACCCCCAGCTTGCTCAAGCTATTTGGGGACTGTCGCAGGCCTGTCTGGCTCTTGGGGCTCAGACCAGAGCAGGGCTCAGGAGTCCTGGCCTGGCCAGCCAGACTGTACATGCGAGGGTTCCATTCGGTTTACGAAGGGCGGTAGATGGCCTTTGTCCTGTCTGTGTCTCTAACAAAGGGCCTGGCCCACGGTAGGTAGGTAGCTGGCTGGGGGATGGGTGAAAGTGGGGGTGCCTCCTAGGAAGGGGCCCTCTGGGTAGCCTTGAAGAATGACATTTGCTAGGACTAGACAAAGGCGGCAAAGGGGCCAACTCCGCCAGGTACTGAGGGAGGAAGACCTGGCCTGGGTTCCCCAGCCCTGGGGTGGCTGTTTCCTGGCTCACCCTCCCTGGACCAGCTCTTGGGGTCACCAGATCTGGGTTCAAATCCCGAGCCCACCTAGTGTACTGGACGAGCAGCCCAGCTGGTAAATCCTGGTCCGCTCTCCACCTGTCCCTGAGCACCGGTGCCTGCTGCAGCCACAGGTGGGGAGAACACCAGAGCCTGGAGGGTGGGAACAGGCGAGGGACCCTCAATCACCCCTGCAGAGCGGAGAGTTTGGTAGGGAGGTGTCTCCCCAGCCTCCAGGCTGCTTGGCCCCAGGATGGAGTTTTGGGGAACCCCTTTCCTTGACCTCAGGCAGTTGCTCACAGCAAGTGGGGAGACCATGGCGCGTAGTGTAGACAGTTGGTGCCACCTGGAGTGACAGACTGTCCTGGGGCCTTAGGCCCAGCCCTGGGGGGTTGAGCCGCCTTCCTGGGGGTCTAGGGACCCAGCCTACCTCCAGTCCCGCCTTTCCCCCACAGCCTTCGCCTTCCCGGCTGGAGCTCATTAGCATCTGAATGGGGGCGGGGCAGCTCGGGCCTCCCAGGCTCTTCTTCCCACCCCTCCCCCAGGCTGGGCAAGGCTTTGTCTCCCCCGACGGGCGGGCACGGGGCTCCCGCACAAGGAGTGAGGGGGTCTGAGCCATTTCTGACACCTTCTGCCTGCGTCCTGCCCAGTCCCACGAGCGCAGCCCCTGCCCGGTGCTGAGGCTCCTGTAGGGCGGGCGGGAGGGGGTCCTTCAGGGGATGCCCTCGAGCTGGGCGGCCGGGAGAGACTGGGTGGCCTTGCAAAGGAAGCCACGCTGAGCTCAGCGGAGGGTGTCCCGGGAGGGTGGGCGGAGAACCCCAGGCAGAGGGCAGCCGTGGTGAGGAGAAGAGAATGAGCCCCTTGTGGCTGGGGTGGACGGCAAGGCAGCTGGAGCGCAGGCCTCCATGCCAGCCCGGCAGCCTCGGGACTCCATTGTGCTGGAGCTGGAGCCTTGGCTGCCAGATGGGGGCCTGGGCAGCCTGTCAGGTGGGATCCCAGTGAGGTCCCCAGGCCTCCAGCAGGGCTGGTCCTGAATACCTGCCCTGGACACGAGCCCTGGCTGTGAAGCTCTTGGTCTTTGTCTTTAAAGGCCCCATTATTTTATTTTTAATATATTCGTATTGATTTCAGAGAGGAAGGGAGAGGGAGAGAGAGAGAGAAACATCAATGATGAGAGAAAATCATGGATCAGTTGCCTCCTGTACGCCCCACACTGGGGATCTAGCCTGCAACCTGGGCCTGTGCCCTGACGGGGAATCAAACCATGACCTCCTGGATCATAGGTCCACGCTCAGCCACTGAGCCACGCCAGCGGGGCACCACCCATCCTTTAGGCAGGAACAGGATGGAGGAAGCTTTGTTCACAGAAGCTCTTAGCCACCGAGGGACCAAGCCCCTGTCGCACCACACCCGCCAGCAGGTGATGAGAGGTCTGACCAGAGCCCGAGTGCTGCCCCCCGACACCCCTTGGTGCTGTGGGGAGACAGGACTGGACAGATGTGGGGGGGTGGGGGGGGGGAGAGCAGGGCCCAGGCCAGCCTCTGTCCATCTTCCCAACAGCTCAGGGCAAGAGTCCCAACCTAGGAGTTGAGTGAGGAGAAGGGGCCAGCGGGTTCTGGCCGGGCCATAGCTCATGGGCCCACCTAAGGTGCCCTGCAAGGTGCCCTGGAGCGAGGCCCTTAGATGGGGGCCCTGGGACCTGGTGCTCTGAGGCAGCCCCTCCCTCAGCCATAGTCCAGGGTGGGGCCTCTGCCCACC